ATAATGAAATCGCGCGGAAAAAAGAACCAATCATTTTCTCGCTCTTGTAAAAATATGACAAGTTGATTGGCTGACACATTCATCTCCCTTTGCCTGATTGGTTGATGCTTTCTTTATCGCGTCGTGTCTACATAAGCTATCGTTCGCGCCAAAGAAGACCGTGTTTCCGTTCCCATGACTATTATAAATTTCTATGGTGAGAAGAGACACGTGGATTCTGCATTTCGTGCTTGTATCAAACATTAAATACCTCAAGATACCTATTTTTAAAATAATAATCTTTATTAATAATAATTTTTATTAATTTTCTGTTTTTAATTTTCATTAACAGAATTATTTTAAATATTAATTTAATTTTTTATTAAATTATTTAAATTTAATAAAAAATTTTATTTAAAAAATTATTTACATTTAAATTACATAAATGAATTTATATAAAACAATTAACTATTTTTTATTTATTTTTATACATTTTTTATTTAATTTTAATATTGTTTTATTTTATTTTTACTAATCTACTCGTCTCTCATCGAACCTTAATTCTTTTACATATAAAGGTGCAATTTCATTGACGCTAAAAAGTAGCGTCAACTATTGGTTGAACAAAGAAGTAAGTAGTTGCTTCTTTGTTCAACCAATGGTTGACGCTACTTTTTAGCGTCAATGAGGCCGCATCTTAAAGGTGCAATTTCATTGACGCTAAAAAGTAGCGTCAACCATTGGTTGAATAAAGAAGTAAGTAGTTGCTTCATTGTTTAACCAATGGTTGACGCTACTTTTTAGCGTCAATGAAATTGCACCTTAAAGGTGCGGCCTCATTGACGCTAAAAAGTAGCGTCAATCATTGGTTGAACAAGGAGGTAAGTATAGTTGCTTCATTGTTCAACCAATGGTTGACGCTACTTTTTAGCGTTAATGAGGCCGCATCTTAAGAAGACGTGAAGATGACGTCCTTTGTTTCTTGCCAATAGAAAAAGAAGAAAATAAAATCGCACGGAAAAAAGGACCAATCATTTTCTCGCTCTTGTAAAAATATGACAAGTTGATTGGCTGACACATTCATCTCCCTTTGCCTGATTGGTTGACGCTTTCTTTATCGCGTCGTGTCTACATAAGCTATCGTTCGCGCCAAAAAAGACCTTGTTTCCGTTTCCATGACTACCACAAATTTCTATGGTGAGGAGAGACGCATGGACTCTGCATTCTGCATTTCGTGTCTGCATGAAACATTAGGTTAGATAACTCAAGATACCTATTTTTAGTACCTCGAAGAAGACGTCCCTTGTTCTGTCAATAAAAAAGAAGAAAACAAAAGATGTTAGTATCTTATAAAATATTATAAAATTGCATGCACGGTTTATTTGTTTAGTCCACGTGGATTAACAATCGTGTAATTTCTCTTTAGGCGCGAAAAAACAGGAACTCAAACGTCATGGCAAAGAAGAGGAAACAATTTGACGAATATTTGGGAGGATCCGAGACCCTTCCATCTGAAGTGTCTATCATGCAATTCGTCTCTTCACGAGCCCGTGAAATTTCCGCGATGACATCTTCGATTGGTATGTATCTTGCAAAGATAAAAAAAATATCAAGTACATAAAAGTATTCTACCTTTTGTGCAACAATATGTTTAATAAAAAAAGTCTTTAAAAATAATTTACTGTAATTTTCCTTAATAAAATAAAAAATTTTTCTAAAAAATTAAAACCTCAAAAAATAATATTCCTAAAAAGACACGAAAACTTAAAATATTAAAACTAAATATCAAATCAATAATTAATATTAGCCAAGAGCAATTTGTAAATTTGATATTATTTAAGAGCAATTTGTAAATTTGATATAATATTTGCCATAAAATATCAATCTTACATTGTAAAAATATATATAAATTCTCCCTAAGAAATTAAAATGCATTTTATTTGTATTCAGAAAAACTTTTTGATTTTTAAAATTGATACTAAATGAGAATTAGGATTTTTTTAATTCATAAAATATTTTTTATATAATATATATAATTTTTATAAAAATGTATACCTTGCAAAAAAGCTTCCTTAAATATGTTTTTCCCACAATCTTCTACTTAGATCTACCTGATTAGTTGAACTGCATGAATGCGATTTATTTGTTTAGAGCACATGGATTAACAATCGTGTAATTTTTAGCCGCAAAAAATTGTCATGGCGAAGAAGAAGAAACATTTTGACGAATTGAAATTTTGGAAGGATCCGAGACCCTTCCATCTGAAATGTCTATTATGTGATTCGGCTCTTCGAGGGCCCATGAAATTTCCAAGGTGACATCTTCGATTGGTATGTATACGTTGCAAAAAATATAAACTTGCTTAAATATGTCTTTCCCACGACCTTTTCCTTAGATCAGTTAAGAAAACATTTCTTCTAGCTTCTGCTGCCTAGCGAGTTGGATCTCATGCGTTTTCATATTCATCAAACGTATTTATTCAGCAACAACTTTAAGAGGTGCCTCTACCTTTTTAATTTCATAGAAATAATTCTCTTTTTATCTCTTTAAGATTGACTTTCTTTTTTATACAATTTTTCACAAAGGTAACATTCAACAATGAAACGTTAAGATTTGATTGTAATTGAAATAAAAAAACATTTTTTTTTTGTTACAGAAAATCCTAAGTAAACCAAGTTAATATTTCAAAAGTCATATATATATATATATATATATATATATATATATATATATATATACGCAGATGTGTCATATCTCGTAACGTTAAAAGCTTATCACCTAGACTGTGAGAGGAAAAAAAAGAGAGGACAAAATGCGAAAATGGCAGTCGGCGAGCAGCCAAAATTTACCATCGACGAGTAAGCAGCAACCATCCCATGAGACGATCTGCTTAGAGACTCACACCTGGCATGCAAAACGTTTTCACATGATCGACAAGTGGGGATATAAAATTCCACATTATTTAAAGGACAAGAGCTCTAAAGTCAGTTACAATGCTGCAACAAAAAACTGCCTTTTACAAGATATTTCTTACTATACCTGTATCGAAATAGTAGGAAAGAAAAATTTGTTGGAAGCAACTTTGAAGGAACATTGTAATCCGAAAAAAACTTTTGCTGCAAAGATGTACACCGATGGGCAAAAAGAAGGTATGGTAATGTTCTTTAAAAAGAATGGCTATCCACAGTTTCCTATTGGTAATGTGAACTTTTTCTGGAAGCTAAGCTATACAAAGAAAAAAACCATTTGGATATGGGTACATCCTGCTTTTTATAGTGATTTTCTTAGTGAGATTATATCTAGTTTTGAGTTTAAACACAATAACGCGGAACAAAATAAAACTGACATTTCACACAATTTAAATGATATGTACACAAATGACGCAGGCTGTAAAATGCTTGTATTAAAATATGCATTAAATAGATTCAGACTTTCTGGGCCAACAGCTTTAACTGTACTAAAAGAAGCATTACATGTACCATCTCTAATTGAACTAGATTTAGATTCGAAAAATTGCCCTATGACAAAAGAACAGTATAGCTCGTTAAATGAAAAATTAGATACATCAACAGGTAATAATGTCTCTGTGCAACCTGTGGAGAAAATGGTAATTGATGAAAATGAAAAAGATACCAAAGGTTTGACTATACAAGATCGTAAGGAAATAATGTGGCATACTAAATATTATAAAAAAAGAGAAAATATAGAAGCTTTTAAGATACAAAAGCAAATGTGGCAATCGTTGAAGGTTTTGGAATCACCACGTTTTCCGTTACCAACATATATTATTGCATTAACCGTTTTAGATCCACGCTTTTATTTACCTGTAAGAAGCACGAAAACTGAGATTCCTTCATCTGCTGAAAACTTACATTCTCAGTTATCAAATAACTTAAATCGTTCTCCTATTTGGAATGCACAAATACGTCAGATCGTAAGCAGTTCTTGTGTGTCCAAACACACAATCGACAAGATTGAACTTGGTATGTCAGATAATCCATATTTCAGTAAGGATGCAAAAATACCGATACTTCTTATACAGAAACCAGCAGTAACTTCTTCAGGTATGTAATAAGTATAATTTACAATTATTTATAAGGTATATATTATTCCTTGATTGCAATTAAAAGTACATTGATATATTGTTCCAGGTTTAGGTTCCAGGATAGATATTATTATACCATCTAGATGGGCAATGGCATTTTGGATGGCACTTTTAATGCGATCTCCATTAGTAGGCGGACTTCGAGAAACCAAATTAGTAGTTTTTGAAAGTTTAGAACCATATGGACCTGATATTAATGATCCCGACACTCCTGCTTACAGAGAAGAAGCGTCGACAAGAAAGGAGGAATTAACCAATGAATATTTTTCTCATTCGCCAATCCAAAGAGTTAACTTTATCAAATTTGGCATTTGGAGTCCTTTCTTCTGCGATTGGAAAAATTTAACCAAAGACTGGTCGGACGTTGAAGATTTTTACGTTCTGAGACACTTTAGACTTTTAGCACTTTTAAGAACAGTAATTAAAACTATTGAACATAAGAATGCAAGGTCCAAATCAACTGTCCAAGGGTCACAATTCGATTTTCGAGAATTCGATGAATATCAAAATTGCCTGGTACAAGTCAAATTGTCGATATTGAACATAGGAACGTTGGATGATTTCGCGATCATATGTATACCAACACCCAATGATTTGCGAAGTTTCGAAAATAATGAAAATTATGATGGTCCTATGGAAAAATGTCACACCGATCGGAATGAAGAGTACCGCAAAATATTACGTAGATTACACTTAATGGAATTGGAACAACTAAGACACAAAGTTAAACTAAGGTACAGAGTTAAACGGAAGAAAACGTCCCAAGATAATGTATTGCCGGAGGAATTTGATGACATTCATGACGAGATTAATAGTGCAAAACGTCAGAAAATGATATCAGATCATGCGGAAGAAATGAGAAAATTGTATCTCCCAGAATCGACGGAGGTTCGCCATTCCTGCGGTAGAGAAGTCATGGGATACGTAACGATGGGCGGTTATTCATTTCTTCGTAGGAAATTTATTGGCATCGGATATGTCACATTACCTTCGCTACTCAAAATTATTCGCAAAAAGTCTAACATTGTTCTCGTTAGGAATAATAAAGAACTACAGTATAGATTTGTACGATTAGAAATATTAGTAGATATTAATAAGAGATGTAAGTAGATATTAATTATTAGTAGATAAGTGTGCGTCATAAGTATATTTTTATTTTATGTATATTTTATCTTATTACCAGAGTCCGGATCTCAGGGCCGTTTCTCCCACTCCTAGTGCATGCTAGCAGCCGAGCGCCCCGAAAAACAGTACCGTCTATGATCTATGCCGGTGTTGTAATGATAGCAAAGGGAGCACCATCGCGTAGCAAAATTATATATATATTTAATAATATAATAATTTTAATTTAATAATTATTATATGTGTATATATATATATATATATATATATATATACACATATAATAATTATTAAATTATAATTATTATATAATTATTATATGTGTATGTGTGTGTGTGTAGATTTAATTATACATATGCATATAAATTTATATATATATATATATATATATATATATATATAATATATATATATATATATATATATTATATTATTTTATATTTTAAATTATATATATATATAATTTAAAATATAAAATAATATAATAAATAATTATATTTTGTTTTTCTTTGCGACGATGTCCTCCTTGCTACCATCACTATACCGCCATAGATTATCGATACTGCTTTTCGCGGCGCTCTGTCGTATGCACTTGGAATGATGAAGACGGCACCGAGATCCGACTCTCCAAGACTCTGTTTACATTATATACCTATGCAAATATATGTAAATGTATCAATGTATATATTTTTAAATTTTTTTTGTACAAGAATAAAGTCAAATATTTCAAATAATATTTTTTTACACTATTTTCAGTAAAAATAATTTCCAAAGAGTCAATAATAGATGGATTGATAGTGATCATGATCGATAAATTTGGTTTGGTTTTATTTAAAACTTTCATTAAACAGTATGATTTAATTTTGCTCTTCAATACACTTTGCTTCTAAAATGTACATTTATCAAACGGTACAAAAATAATTACATAAAATATAATTTCTAATTATCTGCTGTGTAATTATAATGATTATTTTATATATAATATTTAACGTACTAATAACCAGTGTTATATTTTAAAGTTTTTTTACATTTTCTGTTATACGAAACTTATATAATTCTTCTTTGTATTGATTCTATATAATCATTCATTCATTTCAACTTGGAATTGTCGGTTCGGTGTCATCACATATCAATAATTATTTGGTATTTTAAAAACAGAGATTCAATTTCGTTCCACTCACAAGATCCTTTTTACGGATCTAAAGGTCTATCTAGATATAATGCGTTTAATGATCGCGCGGAAAAAAGAACCAATCAATTTCTCGTTCTTATAAAAATATGACAAGTTGATTGGCTGACGCATTCGTCTCCCTTTACCTGATTGGTTGACGCATCTTTCTTTGCCGCGTCGTGCCTATGTAAACTATTGTCCGCGCCAAAGAAAACTGTGTTTCCGTTTCCATGACTACCACCAATTCTATGGTGAGGAGAGACACGTGAACTTTGCATTTCGTGCCTGCCTCAAACATTAGGTTAGATACCTCAAGATACCTATTTTTAGTAATAATAATTTTTATTAATAATAATTTTTATTAATTTTCATTAATAGAGTTATTTTAAATATTAATTTAATTTTTTATTAAATTATTTAAATTTAATACAAAATTTTATTTTAAAAATTATTTATATTTTAATTACACAAATAAATTTATATAAATAATTAACTATTTTTTATTTATTTTTATTCATATTTTATTCAATTTTAATATACTTTTATTTTATTTTTACTAATTACTCATCTCTCATCGAATCTTAATTCTTTTATACGTACAAGAAGAGGTGAAGAAGACGTCTCTCGTTCCTTATCAATAAAAAAAAAAGAAAAAAAAGAAAAAAAAGACGTTAGTATAATAAAATACTATAAAATTGCATGAACGCGATTTATTTGTTTAGTCCACGTGGATTAACAATCGTGTAATTTTTAGGCGCGAAAAAATGGTCATGGCGAAAAAGAAGAAACAATTTGATGAATTGAAATTTTGGAAGGATCCGAGACCCTTCCTTCTGAAATGTCTATTATGTGATTCGGCTCTTCGAGGGCCCGTGAAATTTCCAAGGTGACATCTTCGATTGGTATGTATACATTGCAAAAAATATAAACTTGCTTAAATATGTCTTTCCCACGACCTTTTCCTTAGATCGGTTAAGAAAACATTTCTTCTAGCTTCTGCTGCCCTGCGAGTAGGATCTCACGCATTTTCATATTCATCGAACGCATTTATTCAGCAACAACTTACTTTAAGAAGTAGTGCCTCTACCTTTTTAATTTGATAGAAACAATTATCTTTTTATCTCTTTTAAGACTGACTTTCTTTTTATACAATTTCTCACAAAGGTAACATTCAACAATAAAACGTTAAGATTTGATTGTAATTGAAACAAAAAAACAATTTTTTTTTGTTACAGAAAATCCTAAACAAACCAAGTTAATATTTCAAAAGCTTCATATATATATATATATATATATATATATATATATATATATGCAGATGTGTTATATCTCGTATCGTTAAAAGCCACCTAAATTGCGAGAGGTATATTTGGCAAAAATGGCAGAGTCGGCGAGCAGGCAAAATTTACCATCGACGAGTAACCAACCATCCGATGAGATCTACTTAGAGACTCACACCTGGCATGAAAAATATTTTCACATGATTGACAAGTGGGGACATAAAATTCCACATTATTTAAGTTACAAGAGCCTTAATAGAAAAGCCAGTTACAAAGCTATAACAGAAAACTGCCTTTTACAAGATATTTCTTACTATACCTGTATCGAAATAGTAGGAGAAAAAAATTGGTTGGGAGCAACTTTGAAGGAACATTGTGATCCGAAAAAAATATTTACAGCAAAGATGTACACCAATGGTCAAAGAGAAGGTACAATAATGTTCTTTAAAAAGAATGGCTATCCACAGTTCCCTATTGGTAATGTGAACTTTTTCTGGAAGCTAAGCGAGACAAACATTAAAACCATTTGGATATGGGTACATCCTGCTTTTTATAGTGATTTTCTTAGTGAGATTATATCCAGTTTTGACTTTAAACAGAATAACGTGGGACAAGGTAGAACTGACATTTCACACAATTTAAGTGGTTGGTACACAAATGACGCAGGCTGTGAAATGCGTGTATTAAAATATGCATTAAATAGATTCAGACTTTCTGGGCCAACAGCTTTAACTGTACTAAAAGAAGCATTACATATACCATCCCTAACTGAACTAGATTTGGATTCGGAAAATTACCCTATGACAGAAGAACAGGATAGCTTGTTATGTGAAGAAGAATTAGATACATCAACAGATAGTAATGTCTCTGTGCAACTTGTGGAGAAAATGGTAATTGATGAAAATGAAACATATACCAAAGATTTGACTATACAAGATCTTAAGGAAAAAATGTGGCATACTAATTATTATAAAAAAAGAGAAAATATAGAAGCTTTTAAGATACAAGAGATAATGTGGCAATTGATGAAGGTTTTGGGATCACCAAGTTGTCTGTTATCGAATATGATTAATGGATTAACCGTTTTAGATCCACGCTTTTATTTACCTGCAAAAAGGACGAGAACTGAGATTCCTCTTTTTTCTGAAAACTTACGTTGTCATTTACCATATAACTTAAATCGTTCTCCTATTTGGGATGCACAAATACGTCATATCGTAAACGATTCTTGTGTGTCCACAAATACAATCGAAGAATTTATCCGTGTATCTGGTGTGTCTAATAATCCATATTTTAATAAGGATGCAAAGGCCAAAATACCGATACTTCTTGTACAGAAACCTGCGGTAACTTCTTTAGGTATATAATGAGTATAATTTATAATTATTTACGATGTATATATTATTCCTTGATTGCAATTAAAAGTACATTGATATATTGTTCCAGGTTTAGGTTCCAGGATAGATATTATTATACCATCTAGATGGGCAATGGCATTTTGGACGGCACTTTTAATGCGATCTCCATTAGTAGGCGGACTTCGAGAAACCAAATTAGTAGTTTTTGAAAGTTTAGGACCATATGTACCTGATATTAATGATCCCGACACTCCTGCTTACATGAGAGAAGCGTCGACAAGAAAGGAAGAATTAACCAATGAATATTTTTCTCATTCACCAATCCAAAGAGTTAACTTTATCAAATTTGGCATTTGGAGTCCTTTCTTCTGCGATTGGAAAAATTTAACCAAAGGCTGGTCGGGCGTTGAAGATTTTTACGTTTTGAGACACTTTAGACTTTTAACACTTTTAAGAACGCAAATTAATATTATTGAACGTGAGAATACGACGTCCGAATCAACTGTGCAACAGTCAGAATTCAATTTTCAAGAATTCGATGAATATCAAAATTGCCTGGTACAAGTCAAATTGTCGATATTGAACAAAGGAACGTCGAAAGAGTTCGCGATCATATGTATGCCGAAACTCGAAGATTTGCGAAGTTTCGAAAATAATGAACATTATGACGGGCCTGTCCATAAACATAACGCCAATCCGAATGAAAATTCCAGCACAAAATTACGTAGAATACGCTCGATGAAATTGAAACGACTAAGTCAGCGCAGAGTTAAACGGAAGAAAACATTCCAAGGTAAAGTATTGCCGGAGAAATTTGATGTCGTTCATGACGTGATGAATCGTGCAAAACTCTCAAAACTTAACAAAACAATATCAGATCGTGAGAAAGAAAAGAGAAAATTGTATCTCAAAGAATCGACGGAGGTTCGCCAATCCTGCGATAGAGAAGTCATGGGATACGTAACGATGGGCGGTTATTCATTTCTTCGTGCAAAAGGTATTAGCATCGGATATGTCGCGTTACCTTCGCTACTCGAAATAATTCGCAAAAAGTCTAACATTGTTCTTGTTAGAAATACTAAAGAACTACAGTATAGATTAGCACGATTAGAAATATTAGTAGATATTAAGTCTGCGTCATAAGTATATTTTTTACTTTATGAACATTTTATCTTATTACCAGAGTCCGGATCTCAGAGCTGTTTTCCCCACTCCAAGTGCATGGTAGCGGTTGAGCGCCGCGACAATCCACCATCTATGATCTATGCCGGTCTTATGATGATAACAAAGGGACACCATCCTGTAAAAAAATTTTATTTATATATATATATATATATATATATATATATATATATATATATAGATTTAATAGTATAATAATTTTAAGTTAATAATTGTGTATATATATGTATATGTATGTAGATTTAATTATACATATACATAAAATATAAATTTGTATATATATATATATACATTATTTAAAATATAAAATAATATAATAAATTATTATATTTTGTTTTTCTACGCGACGATGTCCTTGTTACCATCACACTACACCAGTGTTGGGATTTACTTGCAACTTTTGGCCATATTTCTTAGCTTACGCCTACTGTTCCTCTCTTACTCCTCTCGCGCGAACTATCGCTCTTAAGGAGCGCTCAGGATCATCCGCGTCACAAATGTAACGTGGCAGTATAAGTTCTTTTTATTGTTTATTATTAATAAAAATAATTATCCTATTATTAAATACGTATATGTTCTGTAGTAATTTAAAATATTTGTATTTTAAATGTAATTAATAGAATAATTATTTTTATTATTAATAAACAATAAAGAGAACTTAGATAGATAGATTGTTACATTACATTTATGACGCGCACGTTCCTGAGCGCACCTTAATTACGAGTAAGAGGTAAGAAAGCAACAGTAGGTGTAAACCAAGAAATCTGGCCTAAAGTTGCAAGTAAATCCCAGCACTGTCCTAGACGATACAGCTTTTTCCCGCGCTTAATCGTTAGCATGCACTTGGAGTGATGAAGACTGCACCGAGAACCAATTCTCCAAGACTCTGTTTACTTTATATATCTATGCAAATATATGTAAAGGTATCAATTTGTATATCAATATGTATATATTTTTTAATTTTTTTGTGTGCAAGAATAAAGCCAAATATTTCAAATAATATTTTTTTGCACTACTATCAGCAAAAATAATTTCCCAAGAGTCAATAACAGATGGATTGATAGTGATTGATCAATTTGGTCTGATTTTATTTAAAACTTTCATTAAACAGTATGATTTAATTTTGCTCTTTAATACACTTTGCTTCTAAAATGTACATTTATCGAGCGATACAAAAGTAACTACATAAAAAATTAATTTCTAATTATCTGTTGTACAATTATGATTTTTTTATATATATAATGTTTAACTAATAACCAATGTTATCTTTTACGGTTTTTTGCACTTTCTGTTACATGAAACTTATGTTTCTTTCTTCATTGTACTGATCCTATATAATTTCATTCGTTTCTACTTGGAATTGCCGGTTCGGTGTCGTCACATGTCAATAATTATTTGCAATTTTAAAAACGGAGATTTAATCTCGTTTCACTCAGAAGATCCTTTTTATACTCTTTAGACAAAGTGATTGATCGAATTCTCAAGATAAGATTTTTTCCTTCCTTTCTGCGAATTTATACGATTCACATGAACCCAGAAAAATTCGAAATAACCTCAGTAGAATCTAAATGCATATTTAGATAGAATGAAGATAATGAAGTCGCGCGGAAAAAAGAACCAATCAATTTCTGGCTCTTGTAAAAATACGACAAGTTGATTGGCTGACGCATTCATGTCCCTTTACCTGATTGGTTGACGCATCTTTCTTTATCACGACGCGTCTACGTAAGCTATCGTTCGCGCCAAAGAAGACCGTGTTTCCGTTTCCATGACTACCTCAATCTTCTATGGTGAGGAGAGACACGTGGACTCTGCATTTCGTGCCTGCAACAATCATTAGGTTAGATAGTTAAAGACAACTATTTTTAAAATAATAATTTTCATTAATAATAATTTTTATTAATTTTCTGTTATTAATTTTCATTAATAGAATTACTTTAAATATTAATTTAATTTTTTATTAAATTATTTAAATTTAATAAAAGTTTTATTTAAAGAACTATTTATATATAAATTACAAAAATAAATTTATATAAAAAAATTAACAATTTTTTATATATTTTATTCATTTTTTATTCAATTATAATATTGTTTTATTTTATTTTTACTGATCTACTCATCTCTCATCGAACCTTAATTCTTGTACGTATTTTATTTTTACTAATCTACTCGTCTTTCATCGCACCTTAATTCTTTTAAGTATAAGAAAACGTGAAGAAGAACGTCTCTTGTTGCTTGTCAATAAAAAAAAGAAGAAAAAAGACGTTAATATCTTGTAAAATACTATAAAATTGCATGAACGCGATTTATTTGTTTAGTCCACGTGGATTAACAATCGTGTAATTTTTAGGCGCGAAAAAATGGTCATGGCGAAAAAGAAGAAACAATTTGATGAATTGAAATTTTGGAAGGATCCGAGACTCTTCCTTCTGAAATGTCTATTATGTGAATCGGCTCTTCGAGGGCCCATGAAATTTCCAAGGTGACATCTTCGATTGGTATGTATACGTTGCAAAAAATATAAACTTGCTTAAATATGTCTTTCCCACGACCTTTTCCTTAGATCGGTTAAGAAAACATTTCTTCTAGCTTCTGCTTCCCAGCGAGTAGGATCTCATGCATTTTCATATTCATCGAACGCATTTATTCAATAACTTACTTTAAGAAGTAGTGCCTCTATCTTTTTAATTTGATAGAAACAATTATCTTTTTATCTCTTTTAAGACTGACTATGTTTTTATACAATTTCTCACAAAGGTAACACTCAACAATGAAACGTTAAGATTTGATTGTAATTGAAACAAAAAAACAATTTTTTTGTTACAGAAAATTAAAAGCCACCTCAATTGCAAGAGGTATATTTGGCAAAAATGGCAGAGTCGGCAAGCAACCAAAATTTACCATCGACGAGTAAGCAACAACCATCCCATGAGAATATCTACTTAGAGACTCACACCTGGCATGAAAAATATTTTCACATGATTGACAAGTGGGGACATAGAATTCCACATTATTCAAATGACAAGAGCCTTAATAGAAAAGCCAGTTACAAAGCTATAACAGAAAACTGCCTTTTACAAGATATTTCTTACTATACTTGTATCGAAATAGTAGGAGAGAAAAATTGGTTGGAAGCAACTTTGAAGGAACATTGTGATCCGAAAAAAATTTTTGCAGCAAAGATGTACACCAGTGGTCAGAGAGAAGGTACGATAATGTTCTTTAAAAAGAATGGCTATCCACAGTTCCCTATTGGTAATGTGAACTTTTTCTGGAAGCTAAGCGAGACAAACATTAAAACCATTTGGATATGGGTACATCCTGCTTTTTATAGTGATTTTCTTAGTGAGATTATATCTAGTTTTGACTTTAAACAGAATAACGTGGGACAAGGTAGAACTGACATTTCACACAATTTAAATGGTTGGTACACAAATGACGCAGGCTGTGAAATGCGTGTATTAAAATATGCATTAAATAGGTTCAGACTTTCTGGGCCAACAGCTTTAAAAGTACTAAAAGAAGCATTACATGTACCATCCCTAACTGAACTAGATTTGGACTCGGAAAATTGCCCTATGACAGAAGAACAGGACAGCTTGTTATGTGATGAAGAATTAGATATATCAACAGATAGTAATGTCTCTGTGGAACTTGTGGAGAAAATGGTAATTGATGAAAATGAAACAGATACCAAAGATTTAACTATACAAGATCTTAAGGAAAAAATGTGGCATACTAATTATTATAAAGAAAGAGAAAATATAGAAGCTTTTAAAATACAAGAGATAATGTGGCAATTGATGAAGGTTTTGGGATCACCAAGTTTTCTGTTATCGAACATGATTATTGGATTAACCGTTTTAGATCCACGCTTTTATTTACCTGCAAAAAGGACGAGAACTGGCATTTCTTTTTTTTCTGAAAACTTACATTGTCAGTTACCATATAACTTAAATCGTTCTCCTATTTGGGATGCACAAATACGTCATATCGTAAACGATTCTTGTTTATCCACAAACACAATCGAAGAGCTTATCCGTGTACCTGGTATGTCTAATAATCCATATTTTAATAAGGATGCAAAGGCCAAAATACCGATACTTCTTGTACAGAAACCTGCAGTAACTTCTTTAGGTATATAATAAGTATAATTTATAATTATTTACGATGTATATATTATTCCTTGATTGCAATTAAAAGTACATTGATATATTGTTCCAGGTTTAGGTTCCAAGATAGATATTATTATACCATCTAGATGGGCAATGGCATTTTGGATGGCACTTTTAATGCGATCTCCATTAGTAGGCGGACTTCGAGAAACCAAATTAATAGTTTTTGAAAGTTTAGGACCATATGTACCTGATATTAATGATCCCGACACTCCTGCTTACATGAGAGAAGCGTCGACAAGAAAGGAAGAATTAACCAATGAATATTTTTCTCATTCACCAATCCAAAGAGTTAACTTTATCAAATTTGGCATTTGGAGTCCTTTCTTCTGCGATTGGAAAAATTTAACCAAAGGCTGGTCGGGCGTTGAAGATTTTTACGTTTTGAGACACTTTAGACTTTTAACACTTTTAAGAACGGAAATTAAAATTGTTGAACGTCAGAATGCAAAATCCGAATCAACTGTCCAAAAGTCAGAATTCAATTTTCAGGAATTTGAGGAATATCAAAATTGCCTGGTACAAGTCAATTTGTCGATATTGAACAAAGGAACGTCGAAAGATTTTGCGATCATATGTATGCCGACACTCGAAGATTTGCGAAGTTTCGAAAATAATGAACATTATGACGGGCCTGTCGAAAAACGTCACGCCGATCTCAATGAAAAGTCCTGCACAAAATTACGTGGAAAACGCTCGATGCAATTGAAACGACTAAGTCGGCGCAGAGTTAAACGGAAGAAAACATTCCAAGGTAAAGTATTGCCGGAGAAATTTGATGTCATTCATGACGTGATGAATCGTGCAAAACTCTCAAAACTTAACAAAACAATATCAGATCGTGAGAAAGAAAAAAGAAAATTGTATCTCAAAGAATCGACGGAGGTTCGCCAATCCTGCGATAGACAAGTCATGGGGTACGTAACGATGGGCGGTTATTCATTTCTTCGTGCGGGAAATATTGGCATCGGATATGTCACATTACCTTCGCTACTCCAAATTATTCGCAAAAAGTCTAACATTGTTCTTGTTAGGAATACTAAAGAACTACAGTATAGATTAGCACGATTAGAAATATTAGTAGATATTAAGTCTGCGTCATAAGTATATTTTTTACTTTATGAATATTTTATCTTATTACCAGAGTCCGGATCTCGGGGCTGTTTTCCCCACTCCAAGTGCATGGTAGCGGCCGATCGTCGCGAAAAACAGTACTGTCTGTGATTTATGCCAGTCTAGTGATGATAGCAAAGAGAACACCATCGCACAGAAAAATTTTATATATATATATATACATATATATATATATATATGTATTTAATAATGTAATAATTATAATTTAATAATTTTATATATATATATATGTATATATATATGTAGATTTAATTATACATATTATACATAAAATATAAATTTGTATATATATATATATATTATTTAAAATATAAAATAATATAATAAATTATTATATTTTGTTTTTCTATGCGACGATGTCCTTTTTGTTATCATCACACTACACCTTAGACCAGTGTTGGGATTTACTTGCAACTTTTGGCCATATTTCTTAGCTTATGCCTACTGTTCCTCTCTTACTCCTCTCGCGCGAACTATCGCTCTTAAGGAGCGCTCAGGATCATCCGCGTCACAAATGTAATGTGGCAGTCTAAGTTCTTTTTATTGTTTATTGTTAATAAAAATAATTATTGTATTATTAATTACGTATATGTTCTGTAGGAATTTAAAATATTTGTGTTTTAAATGTAATTAATAGAATAATTATTTTTATTATTAATAAACAATAAAGAGAACTTAGATAGATAGATTGTTACATTACATTTATGACGCGCACGTTCCTGAGCGCACCTTAATTACGAGTAAGAGGTAAGAAAGCAACAATAGGTGCAAACCAAGAAATCTGGCCGAAAGTTGCAAGTAAATCCCAGCTCTGCCCTAGACGATACTGCTTCTCCCTGCACTTGATCGTTAGCATGCACTTGGACTGATAAAGACGGCATCGAGAACCGATTCTCCAAGACTCTGTTTACATTATATATCTATGTAAATATATGTAAATGTATCAATTTGTATATCAATATGTATATATTTTTTAATTTTTTTTTGTGCCAGAATAAAGTCAAATATTTCAAATAATATTTTTTTGCACTACTATCAGCAAAAATAATTTCCCAAGAGTCAATAACAGATGGATCATGATCGATCAATTTGGTCTGGTTTTATTTAAAACTTTCATTGAACAGTATGATTTAATTTTGCTTTTCAATCTACTTCGCTTCTAAAATGTACATTTATCGAGCGTTACAAAAATAATTATATAAAATATAATTTCTAATTATCTGTCGTACAATTGTAATGATTTTTTTTATATATAATGTTTAACGTACTAATAACCATTGTTATCTTTTACGGTTTTTTGCACTTTCTTTTACATAAAACTTGTTTCTTTCTTCATTGTATTGATCCTATATAATTTCATTCGTTTCTACTAGGAATACCTGTTCGGTGTCGTTACATGTCAATAATTATTTCCAATTTTAAAAACGGAGATTTAATCTCGTTTCACTCAGATCCTTTTTATGCTCTTTAGACAAAGTGATTGATCGAATTCTCAAGATAAGACTTTTTCCTTCCTTTCTTCGAATTTATACGATTCACATGAACCCAGAAAAATTCGAAATAACCTCAGTAGAATCTAAATGCATATTTAGATAGAATGAAGATAATGAAGTCGTGCGGAAAAAATAACCAATCAATTTTTCCCTCTAGTAAAAATATGATAAGTTGATTGGTTGTCGCATTCGTCTTCCTTTACCTGATTGGTTGACGCATTTTTCTTTACCGCGTCGTGTCTACATAAGCTATCGTTCGCGCCAAAGAAGACTGTGTTACCGTTTCCATGACTACCACAAATTTCTATGGTCAGGAGTGTCACGTGGACTTCGCTTTTCATGCCTGCATCAAACATTAGGTTAGATACCTCGAGATACCTATTTTTAATATCTTGAAGAAGACGTCCCTTGTTCCTTGTCAGTAAAAAAGAAGACAAAAAAGACCTTAGTATCTTATAAAATACTAAAAAATTTCATGAACGCGATTTATTTGTTTAGTCCACGTGGATTAACAATGGTGTAATTTTTAGGCGTGAAAAAATGGCTATGGTGAAGAAGAAGAAACAATTTGACGAACTGAAATTTTGGAAGGATCCAAGAATCTTCCATCTGAAATGTCTATCATGTGGTTCAGCTCTTCACGAGCTCGTGAAATTACCAAGGTGACATCTTCGATTGGTATGTATACGTTGCAAAAAATGTAAACTTGCTTAAATATGTCTTTCCTACGACCTTTTCCTTAGATCGATTAAGAAAACATTTCCTTTAGCTTCTGCTGCTTAGCGAGGACCTCATGTGTTTTCATCCAATACATTTATTCAGCAGCAACTTACTTTAAGAAGTAGTGCCTCTACCTTTTTAACTTGTACAATTATCTTTTTATCTCTTTTAAGATTGACTTTTGTTTCATACAATTTCTGACAAAGGTAACATTCATACACAATAAAACGTTACGATTTGATTGTACTTGAAATAAGATTTTTTTTTTTTTTGTTACAGAGAATCCTAAGCAAACCAAGTTAATATTTCAAAAGCTTCATATATATATACACAGATGTGTCATATCTCGTAACGTTAAAAACCACCTAGATTGCAAGAGGTATATTTGGCAAAAATGGCAGAGTCGGCGAGCAGCCAAAATTTACCATCGACGAGTAAACTATCACACCATGAGAAGATCTACTTACAGACTCATGCCTGGCATACAAAACGTTTTCACATGATCAGCAAGTGGAAACATGTAATTCCAAATTATTCAAATATCTATAGCCATAAAGTCAGTTACAGAGCTCTGACACAAGGCTGCCTTTTACAAGATATTTCTTACTATTCCTGTATCGAAATAGTAGGAGAGAAAAATTGGTTGGAAGCAGCTTTGAGGGAACATTGTAATCCCGAAAAAACTTTTGCAGAAGAGATGTACACCAGTGGTCAGAGAGAAGGTACGGTAATGTTCTTTAAAAAGAATGGCTGTCCACAGTTCCCTATTGGTTACGTGGACTTTTTCTGGAAGCTAAGCAAGACAAACATTAAAACCATTTGGATATGGGTACATCCTGCTTTTTATATTGAATTCCTTAACGAGATTATATCTAGTTTTGAGTTTAAACAAAATAACACAGGACAAGATAGAACTGACATTTCACACAATTTAATTGATTTGTACACAAATAATGCAGGCTGTGAAATGCGTATATTAAAATATGCATTAAATAGGTTCAGACTTTCTGGGCCAACAGCTTTAACTGTATTAAAAGAAGCATTACATGTACCATCTCTAACTGAACTAGATTTGGATTCGAAAAACTGGCCTATGACAGAAGAAGAGGATAGCTCGTTAAATGATGAAAAACTAGATACAACATCATCAGGTAATAATGCCTCTGTGCAACCTCTGCTGAAAATGGCAATTGATGAAAAAGCCAACAAAGATTTGACTATACAAGATCTTAAGGAAAAAATGTGGCATACTATATATTATAAAAAAAGAGAAAATATAGAAGCTTTTAAGATGCAAGAGCAAATATGGCAATCGATGAAGGGATCACCAAGTTTTCTGGAATCAAATATAATTATTGGATTAACCATTTTAGATCCACGCTTTTTACCTGCAAGAAGAACGAGAACTGAGACTCTTTTATCTACTGAAAACTTACGTCGTGTTCAGTTATCATCTGACTTAAATCGTTCTGCTATTTGGGATGGACAAATACGTCAAATCGTAAGCAGATCTTGTATGTCCAATCACACAATCGACGAGATTCAATTTATGTCAGATGATCCATATTTCAGTAAGGATACAGTGGCAAAAATACCGATACTTCTTATACAGAAACCAGCAGTAGATTCTTTAGGTACGTAATAAGTATAATTTACAATCATTCATAAGGTAAATATTATACCTTGTTTGCAATTAAAAGTACATTGATATATTGTTCCAGGTTTAGGTTCCAGGATAGATATTATTATACCATCTAGATGGGCAATGGCATTTTGGAAGACAATTCCAAAGCGATCTCTATTAGTAGGCGGACTTCGAGAGACCGAATTAGTAGTTTTTGAAAGTTTAGGAACACACGTACCTGATGTTAATGATCCCGACACTCTTGCTTACATGAAAAAAGCGTCGAAAAGAGAGGAGGAATTAACCAATGAATATTTTTCTCATTCACCAGTCCAAAGAGTTAACTTTATGAAATTTGGCATTGGTAGTCCTTTCTTGTGCGATTGGGAAAATTTAACCAAAGGCTGGTCGGACGTTAAAAATTTTTATGTTTTGAGACACTTTAGACTTTTAACACTTTTAAGAACGGAAATTAAAATTGTTGAACGTAAGAATGCAAGATCCAAATCAACTATCCAAGAGACAGAATTCGATTTTCAAGAATTCGATGATTATCAAAATTGCCTGGTACAAGTTACATTGTCTTTGGTGGACGAAGGATGGCCGAAGGAGTTCGCGATCATATGTATGTCGACACACGAAGATTTGAGAAGATTCGAAATTAATAAAAATTATGATGGGCCTGTCGAAGAATTTCACATAAATCTGAATGAACAGTCCCGCAAAATATTAGATAAAAAACACTTGAAGAAAATTGAACAACCAAGTCGGCACAGAGTTAAACGGAAGGAAACGTTGCAAGATAAAGTATTACCGGAGAAATTTGATGTCATTCATGATATGAGGAGTCGTGCAAAGATCTCAAAACGTAACAAAATAATATCAGATCGTGAGAAAGAAAAGAGAAAAGTGAATCTCCCAGAATTGAAGGAAGTTCGCCATTCCTGCGATAGACAAGTCATGGGGTACGTAACGATGGGCGGTTATTCACTTCTTCGTGCGAAAGGTATTGGCATTGGATATGTCACATTACCATCGCTACTCGAAATAATTCGCAAAAAGTCTAACATTGTTCTTGTTAGGAATACTGAAGAACTACAGTATAGATTTGCACGATTAAAAATATTAGTAGATATTAAGGAAATATAAGTAGATATTAATTATTAGTAGATAAGTGTGCGTCATAAGTGTATTTTTACTTTATGAACATTTTATATTATAACCAGAGTCCGGATCTCGTGGCTGTTTTCCCCACTCCAAGTGCATGGTAGCGGCCGAGCGCCGCGAAAAACAGTACCGTCTATGATCTATGCCACTAGTGATGATAGCAAAGAGGACACCATCGCGAAGAAAAAAAAATATGTATATATATGTGTATGTGTATGTACATATATATATGTATGTATGTATGTGTGTGTGTGTTTGTAGATTTAATAATATAATAATTATAATTTATTTATATAAAAATATGTAAATTTAATTATACATATTATATATAAAATATAAATTAATATCTATTTTATTTAAAATATAATAATTAATAAATTATTATATTTTATTTTTCTACGCGACGATGTCCTTCTTCGTGCTATCACTACACCGGCATAGACTACAAATACTGCTTTTCCCCGCGCTTGATCGTTAGCATGCACTTGGAGTGATGAAGACGGCACCGAAATTCGGCTCTACGAGACTCTGTTTACATTATATATCTATGCAAACGTATGTAAATGTATCGATGTATATATTTTTTAATTTTTTTGTACCAGAATAAAGCCAAATATTTCAAATAATATTTTTTTACACTATTATCAGTAAAAATAATTTCCCAAGGGTATATAATAGATGGATTGATAGTGATCATGATCGATCAATTTGGTCTGGTTTTAAAACTTTCATTAAACAGTATGATTTAATTTTGCTGTTCAATACACTTTGCTTCTAAATGTACATTTATCGAGCGATACAAAAATAACTACATAAAAAATTAATTTCTAATTATCTGTTGTACAATTATGACTTTTTTTATATATATAATGTTTAATTAATAACCAATGTTATCTTTTACAGTTTTTTGCACTTTCTGTTACATGAAACTTATGTTTCTTTCTTCATTGTATTGATCCTAAATAATTTCATTCGTTTCTACTTGAAATTGCCGGTTCGGTGACGTCACATGTCAATAATTATTTCCAATTTTAAAAACGGAGATTTAATCTCGTTTCACTCAGAAGATCCTTTTTATGCTCTTTAGACAAAGTGATTGATCGAATTCTCGAGATAAGATTTTTTCCTTCCTTTCTTCGAATTTATACGATTCACATGAACCCAGAAAAATTCGAAATAACCTCAGTAGAATCTAAATGCATATTTAGATAGAATGAAGATAATGAAGTCGCGCGGAAAAAATAACCAATCAATTTTTCCCTCAAGTAAAAATATGACAAATTGATTGGCTGACGCATTTTTTTTTGTTTTAATTTATTTAAATTTAATAGAAAATTCTATTTAAAAAATTATTTATATTCAAATTACATAAATATATTTATACAAATAATTAATAATTATTTATTCATTTTTATTCATTTTTAATCAATTGTAATATTATTTTATTTTATTTTTACTAATCTACTCATTTCTCATCGAACCTTAATTCTTTTACGTATAAGAAGTCGAAGAAAACGTTTCTTGTTCCTCGTAAAAAAAGACATTAGTATTATATAAAATACTTCAAAAATGCATGCGGAAAATAGAACCAATCAATTTCTCCCTCTTGTAAAAATATGATAAGTTGATTGGTTGATGCATTCATCCCCCTTTTACCTGATTGGTTGACGCATCTTTCTTTGCCGCGTCGTGTCTGCATAAGCTATCGTTCGCGCCAAAGGAGCCGTGTTTCCGTTTCCATGACTACCTCAAATTTCTATGGTCAGGAGTGTCACGTGGACTTCGCTTTTCATGCCTGCATCAAACATTAGGTAAGATACCTCGAGATACCTATTTTTAATATCTTGAAGAAGACGTCCCTTCTTCCTTGTCAGTAAAAAAGAAGACAAAAAAGACCTTAGTATCTTATAAAATACTATAAAATTTCATGAACGCGATTTATTTGTTTAGTCCACGTGAATTAACAATCGTGTAATTTTTAGGCGTGAAAAAATGGCTATGGCGAAGAAGAAGAAACAATTTGACGAACTGAAATTTTGGAAGGATCCAAGAATCTTCCATCTGAAATGTCTATCATGTGGTTCGGCTCTTCGCGAGCTCGTGAAATTACCAAGGTGACATCTTCGATTGGTATGTATACGTTGCAAAAAATGTAAACTTGCTTAAATATGTCTTTCCCACGACCTTTTCCTTAGATCGATTAAGAAAACATTTCTTCTAGCTTCTGCTGCTTTTGGACCTCATGCGTTTTCATCCAACACATTTATTCAGCAACAACTTACTTTAAGAAGTAGTGCCTTTACATTTTTAACTTGATAGAAACAATTATCTTTTTATCTCTTTTAAGATTGACTTTAGTTTAATACAATTTCTGACAAAGGTAACATTCACACACAATAAAACGTTAAGATTTGATTGTAATTGAAATAAGAAAACTTTTTTTTTGTTACAGAAAATCCTAAGCAAACCAAGTTAATATTTCAAAAGCTTCATATATATATATACATACACGCAGATGTGTCATATCTCATAACGTTAAAAGCCACCTAAATTGGGAGAGGTATATTTGGCGAAAATGGCAGAGTCGGCGAGCAGCCAAAATTTACCATCGACGAGTAAGCAATCATCCCACGAGATCTACTTACAACAGACTCACACCTGGCATGAAAAATATTTTCATATGATCAGCAAGTGGAAACATATAATTCCAAATTATTCAAGGAATAATTACTATAGTAGCCTTACAGACAGTTACAGAGCTATGACACACGGCTGCCTTTTACAAGATATTTCTTACTATACCTGTATCGAAATAGTAGGAGAGAAAAATTGGTTGGAAGCAGCTTTGAGGGAACATTGTAATCCCAAAAAAACTTTTGCAGAAAGTATGTACACCAATGGTCAGAGAGAAGGTACTTTAATGTTCTTTAAAAAGAATGGCTATCCACAGTTCCCTATTGGTTACGTGAACTTTTTCTGGAAGCTAAGCGAGACAAACATTAAAACCATTTGGATATGGGTACATCCTGCTTTTTATAGTGGTTTTCGTAAGGAGATTATATCCAGTTTTGACTTTAAACAGAATAACGTGGGACAAGGTAGAACTGACATTTCACACAATTTAAATGGTTGGTACACAAATGACGCAGGCTGTGAAATGCGTATATTAAAATATGCATTATATAGACTCAGACTTTCTGGGCCAACAGCTTTAACTGTACTAAAAGAAGCATTACATGTACCATCTCTAACTGAACTAGATTTGGATTCGGAAAGTTGCCCTATGACAGAAGAACAGGATAGCTCGTTAAATGATGAAAAACTAGATACATCATCAGGTAATAATGTCTCTGTGCAACCTCTGCTGAAAATGGCAATTGATGAAAAAGCTACCAAAGATTTGACTATACAAGATATTAAGGAAAAAATGTGGCATACTATATATTATAAAAAAAGAGAAAATATAGAAGCTTTTAAGATGCAAGAGCAAATATGGCAATCGATGAAAGGGTCACCAAGTTTTCTGCAATCAAATATAATTATTGGATTAACCGTTTTAGATCCACGCTTTTTACCTGCAGAAAGAACGAGAACTGAGATTTCTTTATCTAATGAAATCTTACGTTATGTTCAGTTATCATCTGACTTAAATCGTTCTGCTATTTGGGATGCACAAATACGTCAGATCGTAAGGAGATCTTGTATGTCCAATCGCACAATCGGCGAGATTCAACTTACGTCAGATGATCGATATTTCAGTAAGGATACAGTGGCAAAAATACCGATACTTCTTATACAGAAACCTGCAGTAGCTCATTCAGGTACGTAATAAATATAATTAACTACAATTATTCATAAGGTACATATTATTCCTTGATTGCAATTAAAAGTACATTGATATATTGTTACAGATTTCGGTTCCAGGATTGATATTATTATACCAACTAGATGGGCAGGGGCAATTTGGATGGCACTTACAAAGCAATCTCTATTAGTAGGCGGACTTCGAGAGACCCATTTAGTAGGTTTTGAAAGTTTAGGAACACACGTACCTGATATTAATGATCCCGACACTTCTGTTTACATGAGACAAGCGTTGAATAGAAAGGAAAAATTAACCAATGAATATTTTTCTCATTCACCAAACCAAAGAGTTAATTTTATCAAATTTGGTATTCATAGTCCTTTCTTCTGCGATTGGGAAAATTTAACCAAAGGCTGGTCGGACGTTCAAGATTTTTACGTTTTGAGACACTTTAGACTTTTAACACTTTTAAGAACGGAAATTAAAATTGTTGAACAGAATGCAAGGTCCAAATCAACTATCCAAGAGACAGAATTCGATTTTCGAGATTTCGATGAATATCAAAATTGCCTGGTACAAGTTGCATTGTCTTTGGACAAAGGAAGACCGAATGCGTTCGCGATCATATGTATGTCGACACACGAAGATTTGAGAAGATTCGAAATTAATAAAAATTATGAAGGGCCTGTCGAAAAATATCACACCGATCGGGATGAAAATTCCAGCACAAAATTACGTAGAATACGCTCGACGGAATTAAAACGACTAAGTCGGCACAGAGTTAAACGGAAGAAAACGTTGCGAGATAAAGTATTACCGGAGAAATTTGATATGATTCATGACGTGAGGAATCGTGCAAAGCTCTCAGAACGTAACAAAATAATATCAGATCGTGAGAAAGAAAAGAGAAAAGTGAATCTCCCAGAATCGGAAGTTCGCAGTTCCTGCGATAGAGAAGTCATGGGGTACGTAACGACGGGCGGTTATTCACTTCTTCGTAGGAAAGGTATTGGCATCGGATATGTCGCATTACCTTCGCTACTCGAAATAATTCGCAAAAAGTCTAACATTGTTCTTGTTAGGAATACTGAAGAACTACAATATAGATTTGCACGATTAGAAATAGTAGATCTTGATAGGAGATATATTTAGATATTAATTATTAGTAGATAAGTGTGCGTCATAAATATATTTTTACTTTATGAACATTTTACTTTATAACCAGAGTCCGGATCTCAGGGCCGTTTCTCCCACTCCAAGTGCATGCAGGCGGCCGAGCGCGGCGAAAAACAGTACCGTCTATGATCTATGCCGCTCTAGTGATGATAGCAAGGAGGACACCATCACGAAGAAAAAAATATATATATGTATATATGTGTATATATGTATATATATATATATATATATATATATATATATATATATATATACATATATAATGTGTGTATGTGTGTAGATTTAATAATATAATAATTATAATTTAATTATGTAAAAATATGTAAATTTAATTATACATATTATACATAAAATATAAATTAATATCTATGTTATTTAAAATATAAAATAATATAATAAATTATATTTTATTTTTCTACGCGACGATGTCCTCCTTGCTACCATCACTACACCGCCATAGATTATGGATACTGCTTTTCGCGGCGCTCTGCCGTTAGCATGCACTTGGAGTGATGAAGACGGCACCGAAATTCGGCTCTACGAGACTCTGTTTACATTATATATATATGCAAACGTATGTAAATGTATCGATGTATATATTTTTTAACTTTTTTGTGCCAGAATAAAGCCAAATATTTCAAATAATATTTTTTTACACTATTATCAGTAAAAATAATTTCCCAAGTGTCTATAATAGATGGATTGATAGTGATCATGATCGATCAATTTGGTCTGGTTTTAAAACTTTCATTAAACAGTATGATTTAATTTTGCTCTTCAATACACTGCTTCTAAATGTACATTTATCGAGCGATACAAAAGCAACTACATAAAAAATATAATTTCTAATTATCTGTTGTACAATTATGATTTTTTTTATATATATAATGTTTAACGTACTAATAACCAATGTTATCTTTTACGGTTTTTTGCACTTTCTGTTACATAAAACTTATGTTTCTCTCTTCATTGGATTGATCCTAAATAATTTCATTCGTTTCTACTTGAAATTGCCGGTTCGGTGACGTCACATGTCGAAAATTATTTGCAATTTTAAAAACGGAGATTTAATTTCGTTTCACTCAGAAGATCCTTTTTATACTCTTTAGACAAAGTGATTGATCGAATTCTCAAGATAAGATTTTTTCCTTCCTTCGAATTTATACGATTCACATTCACGCAGAAAAATTCGAAATAATCTCAATCGGATATAAAGTCCTATCTAGATAGAATGCGGATAATGATATCACGCAAAAAAAATGAACCAATCAATTTCTCTCTTTTATAAAAATATGACAAGTCGATTGGCTGACGCGTCGATTCGTCTGCCTTCATCTGATTGGTTGACGCATCTTCCTTTACCGCGTCGTGTCTACGTAAGCTATCGTTCGTGCCAAAGAAGACCGTGTTTTCGTTTCCATGACTACCACAAATTTCTATGGTGAGGAGAGGCACGTGGACTCCGCTTTTCATGCCTGCAGCAAACCTTAGGTTAGATACCTATTTTTAATACCTTGAAGAAGACGTCCCTTGTTCCTTGTCAGTAAAAACGAAGACAAAAAAGACCTTAGTATCTTATAAAATACCATAAAATGTCATGAACGCGATTTGTTTAGTCCACGTAGATTAACAATGGTGTAATTTTTAGGCGTGAAAAAATGGCTATGGCGAAGAAGAAGAAACAATTTGACGAACTGAAATTTTGGAAGGATCCAAGAATCTTCCATCTGAAATATCTATCATGTGATTCGGCTCTTCACGAGCTCGTGGAATTACCAAGGTGACATCTTCGATTGGTATGTATACGTTGCAAAAAATGTAAACTTGCTTAAATATGTCTTTCCCACGACCTTTTCCTTAGATCGGTTAAGAAAACATTTCTTCTAGCTTCTGCTGCTTAGCGAGTTGGACCTCATGCATTTTCATCCAACACATTTATTCAGCAACAACTTACTTTAAGAAGTAGTGCCTCTACCTTTTTAACTTGATGGCAACAATTATCTTTTTATCTCTTTTAAGATTGACTTATGTTTAATACAATTTCTGACAAAGGTAACATTCACACACAATAAAACGTTAAGATTTGATTGTAATTGAAATAAGAAAACTTTTTTTTTGTTACAGAAAATCCTAAACAAACCAAGTTAATATTTCAAAAGCTTCATATATATATATATATATATATATATATATATATATATACATACATACACGCAGATGTGTCATATCTTATAACGTTAAAAGCCACCTAAATTGGGAGAGGTATATTTGGCGAAAATGGCAGAGTCGGCAAGCAGCCAAAATTTACCATCGACGAGTAAACAATCATCCCATGAGATCTACTTGGAGACTCACACGTGGCATGCAAAATATTTTCACATGATCAGCAAGTGGAAACATATAATTCCAAATTATTCAAGGAACTATAGCCTTACAGCCAGTTACAGAGCTATGACACAAGGCTGCCTTTTACAAGATATATCTTACTATACCTGTATCGAAATAGTAGGAGAGAAAAATTGGTTGGAAGCAGCTTTGAGGGAACATTGTAATCCCAAAAAAACTTTTGCAGAAAGTATGTACACCAAAGGTCAGAGAGAAGGTACTGTAATGTTCTTTAAAAAGAATGGCTATCCACAGTTCCCTATTGGTTACGTGAACTTTTTCTGGAAGCTAAGCGAGACAAACATTAAAACCATTTGGATATGGGTACATCCTGCTTTTTATATTGAATTCCTTAGCGAGATTATATCTAGTTTTGAGTTTAAACAAAATAACGCGGGACAAGATAGAACTGACATTTCACACAATTTAATTGATTTGTACACAAATAATGCAGGCTGTGAAATGCGTATATTAAAATATACATTAAATAGGTTCAGACTTTCTGGGCCAACAGCTTTAACTGTATTAAAAGAAACATTACATGTACCATCTCTAACTGAACTAGATTTGGATTCGGAAAGCTGCCCTATGACAGAAGAACAGAATAGCTCGTTAAATGATGAAAAATTAGATACATCATCAGGTAATAATGTCTCTGTGCAATCTCTGCTGAAAATGGCAATTAATGAAAAAGCTACGAAAGATTTGACTATACAAGATCTTAAGGAAAAAATGTGGCATACTATATATTATAAAAAAAGAGAAAATATAAAAGCTTTTAAGATACAAAAGCGAATATGGCAATTGATGAAGGGATCACCAAGTTTTCTGCAATCAAATATAATTATTGGATTAACCGTTTTAGATCCACGCTTTTTACCTGCAAGAAGAACGAGAACTAAGATTTCTTTATCTCCTGAAACCTTACGTTTTGTTCAGTTAACATCTGACTTAAATCGTTCTGCTATTTGGGATGCACAAATACGTCAGATCGTAAGCAGATCTTGTATGTCCAATCACACAATCAACGAGATTCAACTTATGTCAGATGATTCATATTTCAGTAAGGATACAGTGGCAAAAATACCGATACTTCTTATACAGAAACCTGCAGTAACTCTTTCAGGTACGTAATAAATATAATTAACTACAATTATTCATAAGGTACATATTATTCCTTGATTGCAATTAAAAGTACATTGATATATTGTTACAGGTTTAGATTCCAGGATAGATATTATTATACCATATAGATGGGCAGGGATAATTTGGATAGCACTTACAAAGCAATCTCTATTAGTAGGTGGACTTCAAGAGACCAAATTAGTAGTTTTTGAAAGTTTAGGAACACACGTACCTGATATTAATGATCCCGACACTTCTGTTTCCATGATAAAAGCGTTGGAAAGAAAGAATATGTTAATCAACAAATATTTTTCTCATTCCCCATACGAAAAAGTTAATTTTATCAAATTTGGTATTCTTAGTCCTTTCTTCTGCGATTGGGAAAATTTAACCAAAGGCTGGTCGGACACTCAAGATTTTTACGTTTTGAGACACTTTAAACTTTTAACACTTTTAAGAACGAAAATTAAAATTATTGAACAGAATGCAAGGTCCAAATCAACTATCCAAGAGACAGAATTCGATTTTCGAGATTTCGATGAATATCAAAATTGCCTGGTACAAGTTACATTGTCTTTGGACAAAGGAAGACCGAATGCGTTCGCGATCATATGTATGTCGACACACGAAGATTTGAGAAGATTCGAAATTAATAAAAATTATGAAGGGCCTGTCGAAAAATGTCACACCGATCGGGATGAAAAGTCCCGCAAAATATATAAAAAACACTTGAAGGAAATGGAGCAACTAAGTCGGCACAGAGTTAAACGGAAGAAAACGTTGCAAGATAAAGTATTACCGAAGAAATTTGATGTCATTCATGACGTGAGGAGTCGTGCAAAGCTCTCAAAACGTAACAAAATAATATCAGATCGTGAGAAAGAAAATAGAAAAGTGAATCTCCCAGAATCGACGGAAGTTCGCAATTCCTGCGATAAAGAAGTCATGGGGTACGTAACGATGGGCGATTATTCATTTCTTCATGGGAAAGGTATTGGCATTGGATATGTCGCATTACCTTCGCTACTCGAAATAATTCGCAAAAAGTCTAACATTGTTCTTGTTAGAAATACTGATGAACTACAATATAGATTTGCACGATTAGAAGTAGTAGATCTTGATAGGAGATATAATTAGATATTAATTATTAGTAGATAAGTGTGCGTCATAAGTATATTTTTACTTTATGAACATTTTATCTTATAACCAGGGTCCGGATCTCAGGGCTGTTTTCCCCACTCCAAGTGCATGGTAGCGGCCGAGCGCCGCGAAAAACAGTACCGTCTATGATCTATGCCGCTGTAGTGATGATAGCAAAGAGGACACCATCACGAAGAAAAAAAAATATATATGCATATATATATACATACATATATATATATATATATATATATATATATATATATATATATAAAAATATATATATATATATATATATATATATATATATATATATGTATGTGTGTGTGTAGATTTAATAATATAATAATTATAATTTAATTATATAAATATATGTAAATTTAATTATACATATTATACATAAAATATAAATTAATATCTATGTTATTTAAAATATAAAATAATGTAATAAATTATTATATTTTATTTTTCTACGCGACGATGTCCACCTTCGTAGTATCACTACACCGACATAGACTATAAATACTGCTTTTCGCGGCGCTCTGCCGTTAGCATGCACTTGGAATGATGAAGACGGCACGGAGATTCGGCTCTACGAGACTGTTTACATTATATATCTATGCAAACGTATGTAAATGTATCGATGTATATATTTTTTAACTTTTGTGCCAGAATAAAGCCAAATATTTCAAATAATATTTTTTTACGCTATTATCAGTAAAAATAATTTCCCAGGAGACAATAGCAAATGGATTGATGGTGATCATGATCGATCAATTTGGTCTGGTTTTAAAACTTTCATTAAACAGTATGATTTAATTTTGCTCTTCAATACACTTTGCTTCCAAATGTACATTTATCGAGCGATACAAAAGAAACTACATAAAAAATATAATTTCTAATTATCTGTTGTACAATTATGATTTTTTATATATATATAATGTTTAACGTACTGATAACCAATGTTATCTTTTACGGTTTTTTGCACTTTCTGTTACATAAAACTTATGTTTCTTTCTTCATTGTATTGATCCTATATAATTTCATTCGTTTCTACTTGGAATTGCCGGTTCGGTGTCGTCACATGTCAATAATTATTTGGAATTTTAAAAACGGAGATTTAATCTCGTTTAACGCATAAGATCCTTTTTATGCTCTTTAGACAAAGTGATTGATCAAATTCCCGATAAGATTTTTTCTTCTTTTCTTCGAATTTATACGATTCACATTCACGCAGAAAAATTCGAAATAATCTCAATCGGATATAAAGTCCTATCTAGATAGAATGCGGATAATGATATTACGCAAAAAAAATGAACTAATCAATTTCTCTCTTTTGTAAAAATATGACAAGTCGATTGGCTGACGCATTCGTCTCCCTTTACCTGATTGGTTGACGCATCTTCCTTTACCGCGTCGTGTCTCCGTAAGCTATCGTTCGTGCCAAAAAAGACCGTGTTTTCGTTTCCTTGACTACCACAAATTTCTATGGTGAGGAGAGGCACGTGGACTTCGCTTTTCATGCTTGCAGCAAACATTAGGTTAGATACCTCGAGATACCTATTTTTAATACCTTGAAGAAGACGTCCCTTGTTCCTTGTCAATAAAAAAAAGAAGAAAAAAAGATGTTAGTATCTTATAAAATACTATAAAATTGCATGATCGCGATTTATTTGTTTAGTCCACGTGGACTAACAATCGTGTAATTTTTAGGCGCGAAGAAATGGCCATGGCGAAGAAGAAACAATTTGACAAATTGAAATTTTGGAAGGATCCAAGAATCTTCCATCTGAAATGTCTATCATGTGAATCGGATCTTCGCAAGCTCGTGAAATTTCCAAGGTGACATCTTCGATTGGTATGTATACGTTGCAAAAAATGTAAACTTGCTAAAATATGTTTTTCCCCACGACCTTTTTCTTAGATCGGTTAAGAAAAGATTTCTTCTAGCTTCTGCTGCCTAGCGATTTGGACCTCATGCGTTTTCATCCAACACATTTATTCAGCAACAACTTACTCTAAGAAGTAGTGCCTCTACCTTTTTAACTGATAGAAACAATTATCTTTTTATCTCTTTTAGAACTGACTTTCTTTTTATACAATTTCTCACAAAGGTAACATTCACACACAATAAAACGTTAAGATTTGGTTGTAATTGAAATAAGAAGACTTTTTTTTGTTACAGAAAATCCTAAGCAAACTAAATTAATATTTCAAAAGCTTCATATATATATATACACAGATATGTCATATCTCATAACGTTAAAAGCCATCTAAATTGCGAGAGGTATATTTGGCAAAAATGGCAGAGTCGTCGAGCAGCCAAAATTTACCATCGACAAGTAAGCAACCATTCCATGAGAAGATCTACTTAGAGACTCACAGCTGGCATGCAAGTCGTTATCACATGATCAGCAAGTGGGGATATAAACTTCCACATTATTCATTCAACAAGGCAGTTACACACAGTTACAGAGCTATAACAAAATACTGCCTTTTACAAGATATTTCTTACTATACCTGTATCGAAATAGTAGGAGAGAAAAATTGGTTGGAAGCAGCTTTGAGGGAACATTGTAATCCCAAAAAAACTTTTGCAGAGAATATGTACACCAATGGTCAGAGAGAAGGTACTGTAATGTTCTTTAAAAAGAATGGCTATCCACGGTTCCCTATTGGTTACGTGAACTTTTTCTGGAAGCTAAGCGAGACAAACATTAAAACCATTTGGATATGGGTACATCCTGCTTTTTATAGTGATTTTCTTAGTGAGATTATATCCAGTTTTGACTTTAAACAGAATAACGTGAGACAAGGTAGAATTGACATTTCACACAATTTAAATGATTTGTATACAAATGACGCAGGATGTGAAATGCGTGTATTAAAATGTGCATTAAATAGATTCAGACTTTCTGGGCCAACAGCTTTAACTGTACTAAAAGAAGCATTACATGTACCGTCTTTAACTGAACTAGATTTGGATTCGGAAAGTTGCCCTATGACAGAAGAACAGGATAGCTCGTTAAATGATGAAAAACTAGATACATCATCAGGTAATAATGTCTCTGTGCAACCTCTGCTGAAAATGGCAATTGATGAAAAAGCCAACAAAGATTTGACTATACAAGATCTTAAGAAAAAAATGTGGCATACTATATATTATAAAAAAAGAGAAAATATAGAAGCTTTTAAGATACAAGAGCAAATGTGGCAATCGTTGAAGGTTTTGGAACCACGTTTTGTGTTACCAAATATTATTGGATTAACCGTTTTAGATCCACGCTTTTATTTACCTGGAAGAAGCACAAAAACTGAGATTCCTTCATCTGCTGAAAACTTACATTCTCAGTTATCAAATGACTTAAATCGTTCTCCTATTTGGGATGCACAAATACGTCAGATCGTAAGCAGTTCTTGTGTGTCCAAACACACAATCAACAAGATTGGTATGTCAGATAATCCATATTTCAGTAAGGATACAGTGACAAAAATACCGATTCTTCTTATACAGAAACCAACAGTAGCTTCTTTAGGTACGTAATAGGTGTAATGTACAATCATTCATAAGGTACATATTATTCCTTGTTTGCAATTAAAAGTATATTGATATATTGTTATAGGTTTAGGTTTCAGGATAGATATTATTATACCATCTGGATGGGCACTAGCATTTTGGTTTGCACTTATAATGCAATCTCCATTAGTAGGCGGACTTCGAGAGACCCAATTAGTAGTTTTTGAAAGTTTGGGAACATACGTACCTGATATTAATGATCCCGACACTCCAGCTTACAGGAGATGCGCGTCGAAAAGAAAGACTATATTAACCAATAAATATTTTTCTTATTCATCAAAGCAAAGAGTTAATTTTATCAAATTTGGAATTCATAATCCTTTCTTCTGCGATTGGAAAAATTTAACCAAAGACTGGTCGGACGTTAAAAATTTTTACGTTCTGAGACACTTTAGACTTTTATTACATTTAAGAAAAGAAATTAAAACTTATAAACGTGGAAATGCGAGGTCCAAATCAACTGTCCAAGAGTCAGAATTCGATTTTCAAAAATTCGACCAATATAAAAATTGCCTGGTACAAGTCCAATTGTCTATGATGGGCAAAGGAACGCCGAAGGAGTTCGCGATCATCTGTATGCCGAAACGTAAAGATTTGAGAAGATTCGAAATTAATAAAAGTTATGAAGGACCTGTCGAAAAATGTCACACCGATCTGAAAGAAACGTCCTGTAAAATATTACATAAAGTACACTCGATGAAATTGAATCATCTAAGTCTTCAACTAAATCGGACCAGAGTTAAACGGAGGAGAACGTTCGGAGATAATGAATTGCCGTTGGAATTTGATGTTATTGATGACGAGATTAATCGTACAATATTCCCAAAACATCACAAAATAATGTCAGATTATGCGGAGGACATGAAAAAATTGTATCCCACGGAATCGACGAAAGTTCGCCATTCCTGCGATAGACAAGTCATGGGGTACGTAACGATGGGCGGTTATTCATTTCTTCGTGGGAAAAGTATTGGCATCGGATATGTCACATTACCTTCGCTACTCGAAATAATTCGCAAAAAGTCTAACATTGTTCTTGTTAGGAATACTGAAGAACTACAATATAGATTAGCACGATTAGAAATATTAGTAGATATTAAGTCTATGTTATAAGTATATTTTTTACTTTATGAATATTTTATCTTATTACCAGAGTCCGGATCTCAGGACTTTTCCCCACTCCAAGTGCATGGTAGCGGTTGAGCGCCGCGAAAAACAGTACTGTCTATGATCTACGCTGGTCTAGTGATGATAGCAAAGAGGACACCATCACGAAGAAAAATTTTATATATATATATATATATACATATATATACAAACACATATATATATGACACACATATATATATATGACACACACATATATTATATATATATATATATATATAGATTTAATAATATAATAATTATAATTTAATACTACACACACACACACACACACACACACATATATTATATGTATGTGTGTATGTGTAAATTTAATTATACATATACATAAATTATAAATTAATATATCTATGTTATTTAAAATATAAAGTAGTATAATAAATTATTATATTTCCTTTTTCTTTTATTTTTCTCGCGACGATGTCCTCCTTGCTATCGCCGACATAGATCAGGCGATACTGCATTCACGGGGGTCGACTGTTAGCATGCACTTGGAGTGACGAAGACGGCACCGAGATCCGACTCTCCGAGACTCTGTTTACATTATATATCTATGCAAATATATGTAAATGTATCAATGTATATATTTTTTAATTTTTTTTGTACAAGAATAAAGTCAAATATTTCAAATAATATTTTTTTACACTATCATCAGTAAAAATAATTTCCCAAGAATCAATAACAGATGAATTAATAGTGATCATGATCGATCAATTTAGTCTGGTTTTACTTAAAACGTTCATTAAACAGTATGATTTAATTTTGCTCTTCAATACGCTTTGCTTCTAAAAATGTACATTTATCGAGCGATACAAAAGAAACTACATAAAAAATATAATTTCTAATTATCTGTTGTGTGTGTGTTTGTATGTGTACAATTATGATTTTTTTTATACATATAATGTTTAACGTACTAATAACCAATGTTATCTTTTACGGTTTTTTGCACTTTCTGTTACATAAAACTTATGTTTCTTTCTTCATTGTATTGATCCTAAATAATTTCATTCGTTTCTACTTGAAATTGCCGGTTCAGTGATGTCACATGTCAATAATTATTTGCAATTTTAAAAACGGAGATTTAATTTCGTTTCACTCAGAAGATCCTTTTTATACTCTTTAGACAAAGTGGTTGATCGAATTCTCAAGATAAGATTTTTTCCTTCCTTCGAATTTATACGATTCACATTCACGCAGAAAAATTCGAAATAATCTCAATCGGATATAAAGTCCTATCTAGATAGAATGCGGATAATGATATCACGCAAAGAAAAAAGAACCAATCAATTTCTCTCTTTTGTAAAAATATGACAAGTCGATTGGCTGACGCATTCGTCTCCCTTTACCTGATTGGTTGATGCATCTTCCTTTACTGCGTCGTGTCTACGTAAGCTATCGTTCGTGCCAAAGAAGACCGTGTTTTCGTTTCCATGACTACCACAAATTTCTATGGTGAGGAGAGGGCACGTGGATTCTGCATTTTGTTCCTGCATGAAACATTAGGTTATATACTTCAAGATATTTATTTTTAATAATAATACTTTTTATTAATTTTCTATTATTAATTTTCATTAATAGAATTATTTTTAATATTAATTTAATTTTTTATTAAGTTATTTAAATTTAATAGAAAATTTTATTTAAAAAATTATTTATATTTCAATTACATAAATAAATTTATATAAATAATTAACCATTTTTTATTTGGTTTTATTAATTTTTTATTCAATTTTAATATTTTTTTATTTTATTTTTACTAATCTACTCATCTTTCATCGAACCTTAATTCTTTTAGGGTGCGTTTTCACTTGACGCTAAAAAGTAGCGTCAACCATTGGTTAAACAAAGAAGTAAGTAGTTGCTTCATTGTTTAACCAATGGTTGACGCTACTTTTTAGCGTCAATGAAATTGCACCTTAAAGGTGCGGCCTCATTGACGCTAAAAAGTAGCGTCAACCATTGGTTGAACAAGGAGGTAAGTATAGTTGCTTCATTGTTCAACCAATGGTTGACGCTACTTTTTAGCGTCAATGAGGCCGCATCTTAAAGGTGCAATTTCATTGACGCTAGAAACCAGCGGCAAATTAAAATCACTAGACTTTCTCTAGATTTGGCGTCAATAAAATAAAGTTCAACAGTTTCAACTTTTTCAGTGTCTAAAGCGGCCTTTTCATTGACGCTACTTTTTAGCGTCAATAAAATTGCACCTTAACAGTTGGCAGTCCTACGAGATAGGCTGTGCAGCTCTGCGCGTATATAAAATAAATTTGAAATCGCTTCTAGCCTAACCATCTTCACGCGATCGACTTTATTTGAATTGCACGGCATCGCATCGAATTATGATGCGGCGCCGATTTGTTCGAACGTAATTCGGGACATCGCGATGCTGTATAAGCGTCGAATGAGCACGAATTGTCACGCAAAATATGATAAATCAAATCTACTCACCGTTCACCGGCTGTTCCACAGGCCGCTCCATTCGCTCGCCTCGAGACGTCCAATTCCGATCTTGATGCGCACAAACTCACAGGATATCATCAACGCGAACGCGCGACACTTTATTCGGCACTTCCGATATTCGCTCACATCCGATAATCATCATCAAGGGCGCGAATACTGCGACGCAACTTCGCTCCATCTTCGCGATCGCGCTATCACTGAACTGTTAAAAATAGTTGTCGCGCACTTTCACCGACATATTATGAAAGTCGCGCGATCATCCTTGGACACTTTCGACGCTCTTTCACTCGCGATATTCGCTTAAAAACGGTTAAAAGACGCGGAAAATGCGGACGTACGACGATCCGTAACTGCGTATGACTCCGATTCACGTATGACGTGTATGACGTAGCAGTCACGCGCCAACATGGCGGCCGAACTAGTGCGCATTCGTTTCTGCGCACTGGTTCGGCCGCCATGTTAGCGCGTGATTGCTACGTCATACGCGTCACTGCTACGTCATACGCGTCATACGTGAATCGGAGTCATATGCAGTTACACGGATCGTCGTACGTCCGCATTTTTCGCATCTTTTAACAGTTTTTAAACGAATATCGCGAGTGAAAGAGCGTCGAAAGTGTCCAAGGATGATCGCGCGACTTTCATAATATGTCGGTGAAAGTGCGCGACAGTTATTTTTCACAGTTCAGTGATAGCGCGATCGCGAAGATGGAGCGAAGTCGCGTCGCGTTATTTGCGCCCTTGATGATGATTATCGGATGCGAGCGAATATCGGGAGTGCCGAATAAAGTGTCGCGCGTTCGCGTTGATGATATCGTGTGCATCAAGATCGGAATGGGACGTCCCGAGGCGAGCGAGTGGTGCGGCCTGTGGAACAGCCGGTGAACGGTGAGTAGATGTGATTTATCATATTTTGCGTGACAATTCGTGCTCATTCGACGCTTATACAGCATCGCGATGTCCCGAATTACGTTCGAACAAATCGGCGCCGCATCATAATTCGATGCGATGCCGTGCAATTCAAATAAAGTCGATCGCGTGAAGATGGTTAGGCTAGAAGCGATTTCAAATTTATTTTATATACGCGCAATGCTGCACAGCCTATCTCGTAGGGCTGCCAACTGTTAAACGATAAATTTTTTCGATCTAACCTAACCTAACCTAACCTCTCAGTGCTTTGGATGTCGATGTAAACACAAGCGTATGCTGCCTGGATTTTATCATGCTTTCAAAAATAATATTTAATTATTTCATTAGTGTATTACATTTTATTACGTATATTAATCGTAAATTAATCGTTAAATGTGCGACGTACAGTTTTACATATTTTAATGAGAAGCATATAACATAATTGGTTAGGTTAGATTAAATTAAAACAAGCTGCTGTGATTCATTTAACGTAATAGGATTAATTTGACGAATGTGCAGCTGTTGAAGTTACATGATATTTGTGGACACATTTTTAAAGTAATCATGAGTGTCTTATCTCATCTTGATTATATGAAATTAAAATATAAAATATTTATGTATTCCACATTAACGTTATTCATTACAAGTACTATATTACTTTTCTTATATCTCAATCATATTTCATTGATGAAGCTTTTCATATATCGCAGACAATATGCTACTGTGTGTGGAATTTTACACAGGTAATACATGGCACAAAAATAATTTGTTCTCAAGTATTGTGCGCATTTCTCAAAAATAAATCAAATTAAATTATTTTAAGTAGGATCCAAAAATCACTACATTGCCAGGATCGTATCTTATTATAACTGCGATATTATCACCTTTTAATATGTGTGTGCAGTATTACATACATAAAATATATAAATTTATTTGAAACGTACGGAAATCTTTATCTTATATTTATAATATTTATGATATAAAAGAAAATTGCAACTTTAATGAAACAGTACGGTGGAATAATTGGTTGATACTTATCCTGGTCTACAATATTTATCCTTTTTTCATCATTAGGTTTTTGGTGCTTTTTTTATTATACAGATGTTATCTGTAAATATAGTACTTGTAATGTTGCTTCTGTATCACTGTAAGCACACAAAGTGATAGCATTTGCAGGTAATTATGTTATACTTATATATCATAAGAAAGAGAAAATAAAATTAAAGTTGAATACTGAATGTGCTCTAAAGTAAATCTCATCCAAATAAATAAATGCATAAATGTGCGCCCCACATTTCTCATGAAAAAAATACATAATATTAATTTTTATGTATTATTATTTTTAGATTTTTATTCTTTTAAATTCTTTAGATGCACTTTTCATTTCTCCTCTCTTTCTTTCCAACTACTAAATATAGATCTATCATTTTTAATATAGATCTATCATTTTTAGTGTACATTATTGCAGTAAGTGGAATAAAGAGCAAATCTTTTGGCGCATTTAAAATGTACAGGAAAGTTTTATCTGATGCATTTTTTTCAATAGAAATATCTGAAAAAAATGCATACGTCTTTTTTAATCTTAGTCTTTCTAAATAAAAATTAGAATAATAAATTTGCAAAATAATTTGCTTTAATATATTTTTATTGCAAACATATGAAGCAAAGTGCTCAAGGTGCATCACTATGAAAACATCGATAGAATAAAAAATAGATCGCATACAAAAAAATTAAAATATTTACATT